AGGAGTATGCAAGAAAACCACTAGGCGCTACAGGGGTGTGGTTTAATGTTAGGGGGTGTGTCATGTCGCCCTAGGCTTACCTGATGGATCGAGCAGATCCGACAATCAGCCATCGTGTCAGCTGTAAGCAGGTGTGGTTGCCGAGTTTCTTTGATTTGCGAGTGAAACTTTTCGCCGCCTACCTGACCTAAACATATGCTTGTCAACTAATGGGTACCGTCTCAGTATAGTTTTCCGACCTGCATATTAAAAGGCGCTTTGGATTTTTCAAAGGATATTGGGGATTAAAACATTTTCGTCAATGAAGCTGGCACATTTATTTTGGAATTATGCTTTCCAAATAAGTCACTTGATGAAAGAATATATACTATGTAGGCTTTTGCATCTATGACTCACATTTCTGCTGAAATACGAGTATTTACTCATGGTATCGGTATCTTTATATTACTTGTATACGAGCTTCCAGATACCGATGGAAAATGGGAGAAGTTTTCCTTTGGGGAAGTCCGACCTCGTGTAAATATATGAAACTGTTAAAAAGCAAAAGTGCGGAAGATTTGTCCCTACACAGTTGAGGTGATTTCGCCCAGTAAATCACGATTCATTCTGAAAGTAGACGCCTGCATAGACTTATATAAGGCAGTGTTTTCGCGCACAATTGGCAGTCCTCCAACATTTATTTCTGACTCCTTAAAATACCGTATTACTAGTAGTAAAGTGAGGTCGGCGGTCTCTGCGCAATTTCATTACCATAAACGATCTGACTCCATTGAAGCAGTCACGGTGCTCTAAACGACGTGGCTTAAAATGTTGCCAACTGATGAGATAACTCGGATCTCGCAGTCGGGACTGTCAAGTTTGAGGTGGGCTAGGACAAGCTGGTAACGACAAATAAGCCAGACATTGTTATCCAATGAATACTCTTCTTTGTTGGTAACAGTTCGTAACTTACTGCTTTCGTGTTTCGACCGTGAGGCAGTGTTTGATTCAGCCCTGTTCTCAAACTCGATTGCTCTCAGCTCCTGGTAGGAAATGTGGGCCTGAATCATAATAAATCCCAGTTGCGCGGTGAGGTGAAACACTTGCGTCGGTCTTCTCCTAGATCACTGCCGTCAGATACAAAGAATGCGAGAAGGCGTGTACTCGGTCATCTGAACAACAACGCATTTGCCTTGAATTTCGGATTCACGCTCCGATCCAAAGCACTCAGAGATGGGACAAAAGGGTGTAGAGGCACGTGCGGCTAGAGTATTCATGGAATGCGTTTGAACCCCCTGCTGACAAACGCTCGTAGCAGATTTTCGTGACTGGGCGCGTCTATAATTTGTCGGTCACGTTCAAATCATTATCCTCCGACTCACTATATTCTCCTACCCCCTGTTTCCGTGTCTTAGGCAATCAATGGGACACATTGCAAGGTTTCAGAATCCCTTGACGGTCTCCTTCGGCGTATTTAACCTGAATGGTCTTTAGAAAGGTCCGGGAAATCGGTGCTAATATTATATCCTCTAGTCGGCTTTAAACGACATCGATCGATGTAGGTGGTGGCATGCGACTTGATCGTTTAGCGGGTAATTTGTGAGGTGGAGAAGGGCGCGGGCTCGTAAGCGCGCTCAAAATAACAAATGAGGAACAGAAACAGACGTCAGAGGTCATATTTAGAAACAAGGGAGCATGGCAACGGGCAGTTCAAAGTAGAAACGCCTACGGACTCTATGAAAATTCTACCGGGAAATAATGTAGTTGGGACATGTAGACTATTTCGTTCCACATCCGTGAGTGAAATTGCTATATCTCCGAAGGCAGAAAGAGGCAGGCAGCCGTACAGTTATGTAGATGACTTCGAACGGAGTCCGGTGTTCGGCGCAATGACTTTTCTGCACCCAACGTGCACGGAAGTGAGCCATTCGTTGAAACCGCGACGTGGCTCACGTCGACGATTCTATGCACCTTCTATGGACCGTTTTCCCCCAGCTCGGATTACCAAATCAAACTTTAAAGTGGCCCAGGAAATGCCTTTCTGGAGGCTAAACTCCAAAAAATTTAGACGCATGGTTAGCGCACCAGAACCCAAGGAGATAATAGATGAGAGTCGGAGCCAAAACCACCTCCATAATCTACCATTTTCTCGATATGCATGGAAGAACGTCAAATATCTCTTTACCCAACCGGATCCAGAGAAATTGGCAAACAAGCGTTTAAAGCATGAACGTAAGATGCAAAGACGTCAGGAGAAACTTAAACGCAAGACTTTGGCAGACGCAAAAAAGCCCCAAGATGATTTAATAACGCGGAAGATCAGAACAACCGCATCACCTCCCGCTCCGGTGATTCCCTGTAGACATGTTAACGCTGAAGGACTTTCAAGAGAGCCACCTGCTATCAAGGTGAAAGACAATGACGATGTCTACCGGGAAGGTGGATTAGAGGTCATCGATGAACACCTACTCCCCAAGCGCAAAATAAAGAATCGAAAGAGCTCATCAGCACACAAAGTGAAAAATATTTCACCCAAACGCATCAATGACAGCCGGTTGACATCAAGCAAAACTTCCCAAGAGGCGGATAAAACGCTTTGCGATGTAAGCAGTCTGACTATTAGCAACCAGGTGTCCCCGAATTTGAGAAATAGCGAATCCTCCGGGCGAAACAGTCCTAAAAAGATGTCAGACATGACCAACACACAGAGAACAGCCATCCTGAACAACGAACCCACAAAATATCCCAATGAGATGGAGGTAGAAAAAGGTAGTGAGGTGCTAGTGACTTTGGGTGACGTCGGACGGTCACGCGTGAATGCAGTAGAAGAGACTGTAGCGGCGCCAGCGACAGTGAAACCATCTCGAATAATTTCAGAACGAACTGACCACCTCAATCGGCAGATTCGTCCAATTTCCGCCTGTAGGAGTTGTGAACGTCAAGCGTACACAGCGGAAAGCATTGAGGCTCTGGGCCAGATCTTCCACAGCTCTTGCTTCAAATGCGCACGCTGCTCAACCCTTCTTCAGCGCGGTAGCTGGAATCACGCCAATAATAAGTTCTACTGCAATCCCTGCCACAGACGCGTGTCCCTGCAGACGCTTAGACACTAGAAATGATGCCATGGAAGCTGGGCATTTTTGTTTGACCATGTCGGCAATTTCGATTCCAAACTTTTAGTTTCAACATGTCTTATTTCACACTGACAAATCCTTGAGAGCGAAAAGATAGAATATATTCCATGTTAAATGAAAAGTAGACCACCGCATACACACATGCACGCTTGTATTTACTAACTGCCTTACTGTTTAAAAGATGCAGCTCTAATCTCCTAGCCTACTAATTATGCCCCGATAGTCTACTGTCTGGACATATATTCAACCCATACCATCCATCATAAGATTACACTATTCTACCGCTCGTAGGCTAAGGGAAAACATAAATTCGAAGAACTCTGCGCTCATTATAACTATTAGTTCGTACGGAACCAAGAAAATGGCTATTTCCAGGCTTTTCCGTCCATGAAACAGGACCAGTAAAGCGCATGGAACTTGAGTCCTATGTGTCCAAGACAGACGCCCCGAACTAAAAAGCAGAGAATGACGGAAGTTAGCTCGACAAAGTTACAATGAAAAGTTATATCAGCTTTGCTGTTCGCAAGGAAACGATCGTCAGCTTCAACCGAAGTACGGGTACTGTTAATTACCGAACATGCGTTTTTGCCTGTTCCCGACTTTAATCCCCAAAGTATGTGCACCAGGTTAGGAAATTTTGTGTCTTTTATTGAGCAGAAGAGAAAACCAGCAGTCTGAAGAGGCTTTAACCCCAATAACATGGCTGTGCATGGTAAAAAACAGTCTCAACGAAACGGACACTAAAAAATTTAGGGACCCTCTACCACCTGTGATACGGCCTCTGTCCCCTCGTCTGCGTTTGGGAGGAGTCTAGGTTACACGGGGGAGCGGGACGCACTCATCTACCGGCGCAGGACAGGAGTGAGGACTGACGTCTTACCTTGGAGTCTCTTCTGGTCCCCCAGACAGCCGGACACTGATGGGTACTCACCGATTCAGGTGTCAATGACAAAGGGGACTAGGAAGGTGGCTCTTGTCTTATTCATCGTCTGCGGCCCAATACGCCCCAAAATCTGGCCAGCAAGCACTTGGGTCCTGTAACTCTGCAGGCCGTCCTAAATGCTGACCGTGGGGAGTGATGGCTTAAACTACCGAGAGTCAGGCAAAGATTGATTGCAATTACGCTGGCAAATATTTCCCACCCCCATTTCAGCGTGGTAGACCAACAGCCAATGAGGAAGAACGCACAGGGCAACATCCAGGATTACTGCTCAATTGATAGTCACTAGAAATGCACACGCACATTCAGCCCCCTAAACATCATCTTCGCCCATCAGGGGAAAACACCGAGTTCCTGACCCGAGCTCACAGTGGGTCAAGCCGGCCCCCATACTTCTCCCAAGTAGACCGACCAAGAAAGGTTAAGTTTAGACAGGGAACAATATACATTAAAGCAGCATGGTTGCTCGCGAAGATGCAAGTGCACCAACAGCCAAATACGCGGGATTTGCACAACCAACTCGTGGAGAGACAATGATTAGCCTGAGATTCTTCCAAAAGAAGAAAATGCATAAGCATAATAATAAACAGAACTATAAACAAGGAGCAATGGTTACACGAAGACCCTCAGACAGGAAGAGGGCAGGGGTAAACTGATAACTGGAAAAGACAAAGACGGCTCACAAGACTAGGAGAATTGTCGGTGTAGCTTGATAAGTGAGAACAGTTACGGTAAAGCTCGCATGAGTGATGCTAATCTTGGTAAAAGGGTGGTAATCAGTCCAGTAAAAAGACATTTCCGAAGGACGCTGCCTGAGACGCAAACAGGGCCGAGAAAGAAGGCCATACTAGTAGAAGACGGAGGACTAGAGGTTGGGTCTGGCCCGTGGTGTAATTGTTTTCTCGCTTGTGGGCAAGGGCCGGAGGATGAGGTCGTAGACCAACTCTTTAGGATGACTCCTGCTCTCCCGTCTCAGAGTCGATGTGCGCGTTTGGTACGTCTTCTGCTGCTGCCACCGCCGCCGCCGTCGCTGCTGGGACCTCAACATCACGCTGCGTCTGATGCTCTTCTACAGTCTGGGCACTAGAACCCTCGTCTTCTAGCTGCTGCTCAGAAGCAGTTATATTCTCCAGGGCTGGCAGCTTCGCTTCCCCTGGGGATGCGGTTTCTGTTATAGCATGGTCTACGGCGGGGACCCACTCACCAGACTCTTGATCCATTCTGTTCAGAGAAACGCGGTTCAAGTCAACGTTCTAGAAGGTGCAGAGGAAAAACTTGTCAAACGAAGAGATCGAAACTCGAAAGATGTTATCATTATCTGCGATCGACCTAGGGATAATGTTACTGAAGTCGGCATACCTCTGACTTCGAAAAGACCAATACGACAGCGCGGAAACGTAACAGTGGGATAAGAGGGTGAGACAGGAGGCTAGCACAAACCTTCAAGAACAAGCGTGACTTTCCTGCATGCACAGTCGTCGATTTCTCGGCGGAGGAGTAGGGGTAGGTAAACCCTAAAGACTGTCTCCGTTTGACCAATTTATTGCGGGCAAAAAGTAAACTTACAAAAACGTGCCCCGCGTCTGTCCATTAAATGAAATCCGGTCCCCTCGAATACGGGTATCTAAGACAGTCATCATCATTGAGAATGAAGGCTGTCAAAAGGTGATGAAGACTGCGAGCTATGCCGCCTGCTGCAGAAAAAGTTGTCGTACGGGTCAGGTTAGTGCATACATGGAAAAAATTCTTCGATTTTGTCTAACCTTCACAAGCAGATGGAGGACCGGTCTCATTTCACAAAGGCCCAGGCCGTCATCGCGGAGATTCATTTGCTTCGGCCCAAACAGTGAAGTGCAGAAACCATCTTCCAAGTACAGTACTTCGGCAAAGGTTTTCACTACTAACAAGACGCATAGTATCTCTTCTGATTACCAACTGGGGGCACCAAAAACAGCAGGGTTCGCCGTAGTTTCAGGAAATTACCTCGAGGATGGAAGATGTCTGCCGTTGCCGGCAAAAAATAGCGAGTCTACGAGGCAAAAACTCCTGCTTAGGGTTACGTTTTTTTTTATCTAGAACCCAACTTTGCAGCCGGTAGGTAGCCATCTGACGGGAGACCTTACAATAAATGTTATTCAAGCGACCTCACAATACAGGGAATTAAACCAAATCATTTTCGCCCTAGTTAGACGTAAAGTACACTATGTGATTATTTACCATACTGACGGTACAGATATCAACTAAAGGCCCAGACAGGCGTGCTTCGTCGATCATGTGCCGCTGACTGACGAAACTGCGAGGGGTTCGGTGGAAATTAAACAAGGCAGTAAAACACGCAGTTTGTCCTTTTAATTTCCTAGGAAATTAATGCACGAACTCGTAGCAACTCGGTCAAAAAGTTGATATGAATATTTGAGCTGAAACCCATCCACTTCGAAATAATCGCGTAATATTTACATGCTACCTATAGGCAATCGGTAGTATACGAATACTGAATGAATCACAACACAAGTGTGGTTTCAAGGTAGAAACATCCATTACATTTTGAGACATTGGTTATAACACTTAACTGTCGATTGCTGGCGATACTGCATATCTTAGACCTCGATGGAGAAAATTTAATCCATGAATTAAGAAAAAAAGGTTTTCTTTGCCTTAATGTTGGTACATGATTTCGTCACACAGAGGTGACGGCACCGCACTATCCTGACTGTAGAAGGGTGCATATTTTCATCTGATTCCGATGTTGACCGTTTATATAGGTGGACAGCAGGATGATCATTTATGGCCCATTTGCCATCATAAGTTAATGATACGTCGATCTCAGGCTGCCCGCCGGAGGGCTGAACGCTCGGTCTGCTGATGATCAAGCGGCGTGTTTGCCACTGTACTAACGGGGCCACGTCATATCACTTGAGCTCAGAAGTAATCAGTCACATTGGACTGGGGTATCACCGACCGATGGCAGTCGGACAGAATCATGCCAGCCTTCCTATTTCTCGACAAAAACGCAATGGTTGTCAGATATGCACAACGCCTCTCCCGAAATATTGCGTAAGGCCCCCTGTAATAAAGAAATGGTGGTGATACGGCTTTTTTGAAAGAGGAAACGTAGCGCCCTTAAACATATAACGGGGAAAAATGCGTACTGCGCTGCGTGACTATTTTAAAGCCTAAAAGCCCCTTACAAGAAGATACATCCAGAGGGGGGGGGGGGAAGGGGACGTACATACGTTCGTGGCTTACCCGTATTACCTAACCTTTGCATCAGCGTTTGCTAGCCCCATGTCACAAGTTAATTTTTAAGAGTAGAAATCTTCGTAGATATTTCGGGCATTCACCCTATCACACAGAATATACGATTTTATAGAAAAATTAAAGATGCTTCTAATTCATTCTAGGGTGTTACTTCTACTTGAGGTCGGTTATTTTTTGTGTTTTGCAAACTGCCTGGGAGGGGGGAGGTTGCCCAGAAAAGCATGACTGTTTAATAATTGCTGTACATTAAGTGACTTTCGCCACCTAGTTTGTGTTTTGTCGAATACAGCCGCCTTATTTTTTTACTAAAACTTAGCTGGTTTCTGCCATGGAAAGTAGAAAACCCTGGTTGGGATTTAAGATTAGAGGAAAGATAGCCCAAACAAATGCTTTATTTTGTTAGAATTTCGAACAGGTTGGCTGGTTCTTGTGGTGTCACCGACACAGATGAGACAGACTGGGGTAGTGAGGCGTTGTAAACCAGCTTTTGAGGATGATGTCGCGTGGGTAGGCTGGTGGTAAGAAATTATAGGCCAAACGTACGACCTGAGCTACGAATACGTGTTCAATATTTTAAATGCCTTTTTTGCTATCTAGTTGTTTAAACACTAGTTGTTGACACAAGATTGGCTTTCGTAATCTGATGGCGGCCGCTTCTACTTTTGCTAACAGGCACTGGCCCAGTAGCTTCGGACAGCTCGATGGGACCTTACAGATCACACGAAAAGCTTCGTTGGGGTCCACACAATGTCCGGAATCGACAACACCTTTCCGCTCTTACCCCGCCCGACACTGGCTGCTATTGCCCCTCCCCCCACATTCCCTACACCCCGCCTGTGTTTTAATGAGAACTTTAATCCATTTCTCTTATCACTGACATGTTTTTATTTCTACCCCGTTCCCATATAACTGTACTGGCCAGATGAGAATTAATCGAAAGCTACGTATGCTCGCCACTTCGCTTCTGATTACTGTTATGATAAAATTATGTATAAATATATTGTGCATGCAAAAAGGACATTTACCGGAATAAGCTGGACGAATAAGCAGAATGCACAACATTTTAGTTGCCCACAACTGATCTTCCCAATTTCCGTCATGACGTTTTATGAGTTAGGTCACATGGTGTAGGTGTCTTTATTTTAGGGTTGGAAGTATGCCACTGCTAGCATAAAGTTTATAAGCACCACGAATAGTGGATTTTAGATATTGCGTATGGTAACAAAAGCCTTGTCCTGAGTTGAGAATCTGGGTTGCAAACACAAAGGGACGTGATACAATCGCTACTAAACACAGGGACAGTTGATCAGACATAGCTGGTCAACACTGGCACAGACGAGTACTAGTGATTCGGTTTTTCTGACTTCAGGAGCAAAATGTCCAAAATTGGTGGTTCTATAAGTACCGAAGACCAACGACAGTCCACATAAGTACTCCGAATTTGTTGGCACTATAGCAGGGTCATAGGAGTTCCGAATTATGGATGGTCGATGTACACATTTTCATTCTTTAATCCCATTGTTGCCTCAATCACAGTTGCTGCGACAGCCATACTCCAATCTGTTTTCAATTGAAACATAACCGCCTACTTAAATCAAATCGATAAGCGTTTTTGATTGGAGACGCACGCCGAAATCGGGAAACAGCGTCCCATCCCGTTAACCAAGAATTTGAGTGAAAAATATGTCTAAAGTTGCGAGATTCGCAATACAACCTCGTATGCGACGGCTTCAGACAATCTAAACTGCGGCCGCTGTAATTCAACAGACGGGTTATTTTACTCGACAGGTACAAGGAATCCACCCAGACACAAGCATTCGGTCTCGAAGGTGATTGTCCGGTAAAAGGAACTCTAGGAAATCGTCCCTTTTACGACGAGGAGGGGCTTACAGTGGCAATATTACTAACAAGATATCCCGCAATTATAGTTTCAAAGTTGCAGGCCGCGAAAAGACAAGAAAAAATGATAAAGGGGAGTCATAAGAGCGCAGTCGGGCGTGGGGATGAATTAACCTAGGAGAGAACAAAGCCTCACCAAAGCGACAAAACCGTTGTGTGAATGACAGGTGGAGGTCCTTAAAACCCCACATCACTAGACGAAGGTCACAACAACTTTGGTAAAAACGGCGGTCAGGCGAAATCGGTTAATTATTAACACAGAATCTAAACTGGAAAGTCTAAAAGCAACAATTATCAATTTCATGGTCTACTACTACTACTACTACTACTGCTACTACTACTACTACTACTACTGCTACTACTACTACTACTACTACTACTACTACTACTACTACTACTACTACTATTACTACTACTACTACTACTACTACTACTACTGCTACTACTACTACTACTACTACTACTACTACTATTACTACTACTACTACTACTGCTACTACTACAAAAGAAATAGAGGGCACTGGCATAATACCGTTGGAATATCAAAAACGTACCACAGGCTCTTGGGGTTCAGCTGTTGGAATTGCAAAGTCGTCGGAGGGCGGAGACTTCAGGCGCGGCCTTTTGGCAGAACTTGCGCAAGCTTCAAGATCTGGCGGAAGGATCCCTCGACAGGAACCATCAGTGTCAATGACGGGGGAATCGAGCTCTACTGGCTCGCTGACAGCTGCTGCAGGCACCTGCGAAGGATCCTTGTCGACCTCCGTCGCTTTGCTTTCTTCTGCTTGAGTATAGCTCTCATCAACAGGATCACCAGGCGCAACCTACAGGAGGCAACGGTGGAAATAAGTATCGCCGAGGAGTGTCAACAACACCTGCAGGCACGTTTTAGACGCTGTGCAGTTCTGGCTGTCACGGAGATGGGAGTAGTACGATGACATGGGAAAAGAGTAAATTTCCGGGATAGTGAGGACGAAGAGAGGATCGACTGCAGAGGCAGCAATGGTTATGCGGCCTACGCCAGGACCGAGCTTTCAGCTCGCAGATTCTGTGGCGTTGCTGGTGGGACAATGTCGAGTTTAGGGAAACAGCACGAGACTCTCGGCACGAAGGACACCACTCGAGTGCGACGTAGGCGCAACAATTAGGGAATGGTTCACTTAAAAAAAGTTGGTATACTTCAGAGAAGGCATGGTGTCAGAGGAATGGTGATTCGAAACACTTGGTGTCTGTTCAACTTCAAGACGCACATACGGCATCCATAACCGCGGAGGGCGGCTCCGATCGGCGTCAGGCATCAGACTGCCTTGGTTCCCTAAACCTATTATGCTACTGCGCCCTTGGAATCTTAATCTACAGGATTTTATACTGACCGGCGAACCATGGAATTCACTGGTGACCTCTTATTGCTGGATAACAGGACCGACTTCCAGATTTAGAGCCTCAGGCATACCACATTGCCACAAGTTCATGGTGTCAACGAGTCCGGTGTGGGGTTTTTTGGCCGCAAACGGGAGGTTGGCTTCCAATTGGAATATTAAACTGGCTCAGACCAGACATGAACCACAGAAATCCTTGTTGGCTGAATTACGCCCGAGGTTTCGGGTAAAAAATGAGCGAAAAAGAAGGTATTTGACCCCCGCTGTCTGAAGACTATCCTGCAAGTAAAGTGCACTGACTTCGTCTCAAATGAGAGTCCGCATTCGCTGCAACAATATCACAAGAATGTCTCAGGCCATCTGAGACAACTGAAGTGGTTTGGGCAGGTTCTTCGTCCATCATCTCATGAGTTCAAATATACTGCCCTCAATCCGGTGCCTTTGCCCGTCTGGTGGTGTCTAAGAGGAGGGCAATTCAGACTTGACTCAACACAGCTCAGCAAGACATGGAAATTGTTCTTAGACCTTCGGTATTCCGTTTCTGTCGTTGGAGAAGAGGAGGAGTCGAGCTGCCCAGGTCCGCCGTCGTGGACAGTCACGCGTGGAGAGGTAAGTTACATCATCGAGGCTGGCTAGATCGGGCATGATCACGGCCGTACCAAGTACCAAGAGTTATACTCGAGAAGTCAATGTATAAGTTTCTTGCAGAGCATGCAGTGTCAAGACAAAAACACACCAAGGACGGGCAGCATGAGTCGGTCAGATCATTACGCCATAGAACTAGCAGTTTCAGTGAGGTGCGCCGTCACCTACCACCCTTCGTGAAATGCATACTCTGCTTTGGGTCAATTGTCTACCACTGCGCAGACGGCTGTCAGGGCGATGAAGCAGTTTGAGTTCGCCCGACAAGGGCCCGTAGTAGGGGCCCAGGCTGTGAGACGGTCAACACGGCAGTTTTTAGGTCGTACTATCTTGAAAATGCGTAGTCCGACCTATTCTTCTCAAGTGTCGGTGACGCTAATCACTCACATGCTTATTACTAAGTTGGCCTCATGTGCTAAAACAAGAATGTAAAGTATGTAAAGCATGCTGGGACTGTTGCCGATTCCTGTCGCGGTAACAAAGACCCATGAGATGCCGGAAGTCGGCAATCACAAGTGTGCCCACAGGTTGATGTTGGGTGCAGGGAGAGACGACGTGGGATCCACCAGTAAGTGTTTCTCCTTGTTCTGCAAAATGTTACTCGTCAGAGAAAATCTGCAATCAGCCTATTATTGCCAGAACCAATCAGCCTATTATTGCCAGTGGAATGAGAGTATGTAAACAAATTGCAAATATTGTGTGGTTCATGTAGAACAGGATCACGGAAGTTAAGATCGTTACCAGATTGCTTCTGCACTAAACCTTTGGTAGAGCAAAATCTTCTGCGTGCTATCAGGACAAGCATATAAATCCTGTCAGTTGTCAATTTTTGTAGATAGTTAAGAAGACCTTCGAGCTAAGGGCTGTCGGTAATCTGTCCAAGAGGTGGGAGCAAAGTTGCGACGGATATGTAACTCACCGTGGCTTATACCCCATTGGTTAGCTTGTGCCTCTACCCTCGGGTCAACGTGGCCAATCAGGACTCGATACTACAGATGCTATAAGGATAGTGGAGCAAGCTAGCAGGTGGGCCAGACAGCTGGATTTTCAGCACAGAGGGCCGTGCATTATTTATACAGCTGAGACGACACACTATCGATTGTGGGTGTGTTTCTGTGCATACGAGGCGCAAAAGCTGTATGATGTTGACACAGACAATGAACACTGCTGTCAGATGGGCACATTCAATAAGACATGTCTACTTAGGAAGGTAGAAACCCATCGAGAGCCAGACAACCCACGCTATTAAAAAACGATCACACGTCTTCCTACATACTCCACTTGCACAAATCAAGAAAGAAGGTGCTTACGAGTTCGTTTTCTTTGCTTTCCACGATTTCTTCTGAAGAGGGCTGTACGCGGCGAGCTTCCTCAGCGGAAGTTGTCGGAACTGTGGCTAAGGGCTCACTAGGTAGGTCAGATCCGGTAGTGGAAGTGGAGGAAAATTCTGACTGGCAGAAGGCAGAACCTTCGATTGGGACTGCCAGATTCTCAGTGCTAGAGCTTTCCATGCTGGCGTTCATGGAGATGGTGTTGACAAAAGCCTCCAATTGACCCATGGGTCGCAGCATCTGATCAATGTGTGGGACGCCCACGGGGGCATTGGCGGTCGTGGATGGTACGGGGTCAGAGAGCTAACAGTGGAAAGAAAACGTCATCGATGCGCAAAATTAGCAAATCGCCTTATAAAAAGGGGAAAATGTCAAGTCAACGCTCCACGATTTTGTCAAGGCAAAATCAACTCTTCTGACAATGACTGAGGAGACCTTATATGAACGCAAAGAAAATAAGTATGCCGCGGAGACAATGCCAGTACATCACCCAGTGCCATATAAACTTGTAAATTTTTGAGCTTGCGCTCTAATATGTTGGACAGAAAAGTGTATGCATTAATGATTTTCAGTAAAACACTCCTAACACAGTTGGCATTAACATACCATCTTTTAAATAGTGGATGAGAAGATTGATTTGGACAGCCGCCTGAATAAAGTGAGCCAGGCTCATCCAACTCATCCAGTTTCGCCTTTCTAGACATCCTACTTAGTAGGACGTTTGATGAAAAATTTCGTATAAGTGTATTTCGCAAGAAAACATGGAGAGGGCAATACACAAACTTGTACGGTTTTGTCAGAAGCTCAGTCCACTGTCTAACTAACCCAACTCGGAGAAGATGCACTCCAGATATGCTGGAGAACGAACTCGTCTTTATACGAAACACTGCGAGAAAATGGTTTCCCGATAGATATATTGAAGAACGTCCGTCAAAACTGGACGTGCCAACGGCCAAAAATATGGGCCTATTTTCACCTTTGCGATTTCGAGGGGACTGGCCGGCAAACTTTTAAAACGTCGCCTAAATGTCGTTATTGCGCGCACGTACCCAGCGGCTAAGGTATGAATACTTTTCTCAAGCGCACAACTTCTTCGCCTCGAAGGTAAGGATAAGCTGTCTTTTCAGACTCATTCAATGTGCATCTACGCCTTCATTTACTCCTGTGGGTCAAGTTATATTGGCCGAAAGACAGGGCGCCTATCCAAACGAATTTGAGAGCGCCATCCTGGCTGGCTAGATCAAGGCATGGGAAGTCAATCTCTAGCGCAATCGTGGCCAGTTTTGTTAACAGACGTTATCGGTAGATGTCAATCAAGCACTTCGAGTTATCTAGGAAGGGCCAGGGAGGCACTCCAGGTTCCTGCAATAACGAATATTTGCGACGGCAGAGACATCCGTCATAAGTGGCACAAAGTACGATCAACATCTACCTGGATTTCAGTCTCCAACAGTGATCGCCTAATTGTCAATAACGACCCTGCAACCTGTTCCACAGTCAACATGCACTTAGTAGTGGAGAAAGTTCCATCGAACACAGCACACACCTTAACACCAACCACCAAGTTAATCCACCCATCAGCCGAACCATAATTGTAATAAAGTGAAGGTGTTCATCGTTGATTACGACATGTGAGCTGTCCGTTTCTTTATCTTTGCCCAATGCCCAACGAAGGTGGTTACTTCGATGGACTTATGACCACACCAAAGGCTTAACTACTCTGAACACATCTAGTCCCATGAAACTGTACTACGCACAGCGACCGCACCCTGCCTGACGGCGTGACGGTTGTGGAGTAGGAAGTTTAAAAAAGAGCGAAGCTGTTTTGTAAGACGTAAACGGGGTCAACACGCGTGACGCCCGAAAGGCGGCAGTTTTAGGCGACACCGTTCAATGCGTCTCACCATGTCTCCAGGTTGTTTGGCTGGAAGGAAACCTCATCTGAATAATGGGGAAGTGGATTCACGAACTGAATCGGCAGACAGCATTGAAATACAGCTGTCAGAACTCTGTCCAACAGCACCGTGATCGAAGACATCAGGAGTCCTCGCTGTGACAAACTAATTTTTAACTGTCGAAGCGCGAAAGACCTGACACAAGCAAATAACCACTATATCCTGGGCCTTGGCGCCCTTAGCCGGTACTAACGTGCTTAGAGATTGTGCTGCGTAAATAGGCCTTTGTGTGGTCCATATCTGGAAGGCAGGCAAAGCCCGCACGCCGCTGCTGGAGAAACGTGCATGACAAAATATTATCATGGTGCCAGTTTAAAACGCACTAATGCAAAATACACCACTCAGTTTGATGCAAGGGACCAAGGCGATCGCCCTAGGAGATGTATTTCGCGAGTCTTAACTTCCAGTTTACCAGGTGTCCAGAGAAAACGATAAAGCATGTACTTCGGCCTGACGTTTGTACAGGTTACAATTATGACACGACAGGAAGTCTCTTTCAACTCCAGCACTCCACCACAACTAATCTTTTTCGACCCCAGTAGTGTGCAACGTGTTCAATAGTTTAAAAATCCACCCTCGGACATGCCAGACGACAGGAAAAAAGCGAAAAGGACAAAATGGGAGGATGGAGACCCCACTTACTTTAGAAAGTTCTGCACCCTCAGACTCAGTCCCTGAGAAAAGCCGTCGAATGGACATGACTTCCGCCTTCTCGGGACTTGCATCAAAGGCACGATGCTCACCAATCCCGCCAGTGGTTGTGGACTCGAGAGACCTGAAGACATCTGAAGCGGTCGCTGAGTTGAGCGCACTAAGAAACGGTCTCTGTAGACTCTGCTTCCCTGGCACTTGGACGTACGAGGGGGGTGAGTCAACAGTCGTGGAGAGGTCTGGTGAAATCTTGGTCGTCTTTTCATCCTCCGTGGGGGATTTTGAAGGCGAGGACTAAAAATATGAAAAAGATGGAGGTTAAAGAAACAAACCACCCAAAACCAGAAGAGGTTGAAGAAATGGCCTTGGCAAGACGGAAGGCCACCCCAATTGAAACCAACGACAGCACCCGTAGGATTACGTGGCGTAATTACGGTGCTACTGTATAAATGCAAAGGAGATAAACTGGGTGCCGTCGGCTTAAGGAGGGCATTCTAATAAGCGGAATGGTGTCGGTAACGCGATTTTCGTCCTATACCAGGAGCACCCTTTCGTTGAGTTAGTACGGTCGGGAGAAAAAAGATGGCAAATAAACTGAATCCACTAATCAAGGCTGACTACTTAAACGCAAAGATAATGCAAAACACTCAAAACAGCTGTTTTCCGCCTGCTGTTGTATTTGGTGGATTGTCTAAGCGGCTGACCTCTGAATTGCCGAATTCCATCGCACCGCTTGTCAAGCCTTAGCATGTCATAGAAATTTAACTGACAAATTTTCAGAAACATTATTGGTGTGACCAGTATAATGACTTTATTATGCGTTGGCAGGAAGGGAATACGGGCCTGACTAAAGAGCAGAATAAGTCCTACGAGGCCGTGCAGAATAAGCCCCATACTGTTACGGAAAGCATACGGCCCCAGGATAGTCAATGCAGATAGTTAACGCCGGCGGAGAGACTATAAACATCGAGGCTGAAAGGAATTGGCTACAGAGGCTTATGAGCGCATTTCACCTACCTTCCCTAATCCCCGGTCATTCAAAACCCGGTGAAACGTGGTCCACGGGAGAGGGGCTGCTCAGAGTGACATAGAAAGGGTAGTATTGTGCAAATCGGAATACGAAGGCGCGTGTCTCCACCCACCTCTTGCACAGTAGTTTAAGGTTCCTCAATTGTGCGAGACAGTGGATGAGACCTTAATGGCAGTGGCAACACTCGTCTTGTCGTAACACCGTTACAGCTCGTGCCCACTTTATACGTAAGTGATTTGCCAGGTCAGTATCCATTCAGACCTGGAAGTGTTACCACAAAACGATCAACGCCTGCATATTTGTCGGACCAAAGAGCTCGCTTATTTCAGAGATCGCTTTTTCTGAAGGTCATTCAACCGCCCGCTATTGAAGGACAGAACTGGTGGTCTATAGCTGCGTTAAAAAGCAGTTCCCGTCTTCCCGTGACTAGAAATTGACTAAACTGGTGAGGAATTAGAAAGCAGGCGCTTACTGTGAGGGAAAAAACGTCCCTTGCAAATGTAGAAAATTCTAAAAAGCATACCCTTTCGAAATTGTTGCCCTGCGCCGAAGAAGAAAAAGGCCGGTGGAAGCTAATACGAGGACGTGGCGGAGTAACTGTAGTAGACCACGCGGACGTGGATTCAGAAATTGTAGTGGACGATGACTCCAGACGACGGCTTTTGGGAGGTTTTGGAAAACCATCATCGTCTTCTTCATCTTCGTCCGAACGCTTGGTCAAACTCGTGTCTTCTGCAGACCCAGTAGAGCCAACGTCCGTGAATGATCCATTAAGGATTGAGGAATCGTCAGGGTCTGAGTCGCCCGAGAAGCGCGGATCCAAGTTGTGTATTTTACTGGAAATAAAGGACAAGCTTTGGAATCCATGTTGTGTACTTCCAGAACTAAAATGCCGTAAGCTGGTTTGCAAAGTTTGAACAATTCCGAATTCTTGAATTAGACAATGTGTGTCCGTCCCGTCAGCCGTATCTTTGGGCCCAGTCGCGAATACAGAGCTGCACCTGCGGATTTGTGCTGGTTGGATCTCCATGGGATCCCAGTTAATCCCCAGGCTATCAATTATCGTGCAGTATGGGTGACGCGCTGCACGGTATCGAACTACTACAGAATTCACGCTTTAGGCTACTGTCTAGCCTGATTCCGCCGTTGCTCTTCTAAAGTGAAAGAATTTTACCCCGCGCTGTTTTAGGGGGGGAGGGGGGGGTTAGACTTCCCCAACTAATATTCACGGGATAGTACCGTATACCGGTCAGCCACTGTTGACCGTATTACATTATGCTGAGTTAGCTACACCTCGGGGACTCGAATCCTTCCTTTCGTTAATGATGCCAACACAGGGGGACAATTTGAGCTGGAACGCATAAGGTAGTTCGAATGAGTACTTGTCGACGGCCAAGTTCTGAAAGGGCCATAAATGAACAAAACGAAATGACCTATAACATAAGAAAACAACACTTACTTCCCGTAGCAGTCGACGGTGGAAACTACGGAACACGTTCGTTCGAAGCCTCTCAAAAATTTGTCAGGTCTTGTGTAGTGCTTCCTGGGTTGAATAAGTAGTTCGCAAATCCTCTGAATTGTAAAAGGCGTGCTGGAAGGAAGGTACAATAAGTTGGAATATGCTAACCCTTGAAATGATTTCAGGGTGTCGAAAACCCGTTGCCTTAATTCACAAAGGCTAGTCTGGCTCAACACTCGTCCACGAAAATAATCTTCTTGAGAAAACTCCTCGACAAATTCACTGACGATTTGATTGAACTTGTGAAGAATAAGTGGTTTGACGTGCACCCATGGAATGCTGATTAACATAAGCATATTTAAATGACGTACAGGGTCTGTCCGTGTCTTGCAACTTCCCGTAGATATTCTTCAAGGATGGCGGGAACTGATGAGCCGTCTTTCTCAAGGCCTAACAAAAGTCAAGAACAAAAAATAGTTTCCGTCTACTTTTAAGCGCCAAAAGTATGCCCTCTTTGTTTTCCATATCCAGGAGGGTCATGTGTCACTCACCCGGACTTCGCCCTTTGCAGGAAAATCGAATTTGGCTCCTTACATAGATAAAAGCTAAAAGTTCTGTAGTTTCCCGAATTTCAACTAGCTTAAGATGACAAAAAAGAAATACATCTGATCTCAGAATAAGGACTTCTTCCCACGATAATCACAGGGATAAGGGTAAGGTAACACCTCCACACGAGTCAAGTCTAAGGTTGACATTGGTTAAGACATACACGTATCCCACGACCCATGCGTCTGCATCAGGATGTCGGATATAATAAGTTAAAAAATATTACTGCTGCTGTGGCACACGCTTTAAAAAGGCAAATTCAGCTCTTCTCCGTTGCCCGGCATTGTCATTCCCTTTTAGTGCGTATTTGCGACGGAGAAAAATGCGCGTTTTTGTCCGTTGTCGTCGAGCAGTTATTGGTCGTTTTCGCGATCTGATGGTTCCCATCACACCTTTTAAAATGCGTATTTTTCCCTGCAGTCCATGTGATTTTGCCTCTATTGGGCTAGTATGACTGCTGTTGTCCTATATTCTGTCATCTGTCTGCCCTGATGCTTCCATCACTTGTTTCCTGGCGCGCTTTCGAATTTGAGACGCCATTATGTTGTCTTCCGTTTACATGGTAATTTGCGCGATTTTACATCAATTGATCTATTTCACATGATATATACTGGTCCTTTTCCCTTTTTGCCTGTCTGTATTAAGATCATGAGGTCATCTACACTGCCCTCGGACCACTTTAAAGGAAGTAGACTCTTTTATGACTTTTACACCGAATTTACTGACGTCTGCCCCTGACGCCACATATTGCACTTTTCGACTAACATATCGAAAGCAAACATGTGTTCATAAACTAGTCTTCTGAATATCTGTACACCGGAAAAAGCACGGCTTTGATTGGCGACTAGCACATAAGTGTTTACCAAAGAATCTGTTGTCAGTTCCAGGCCTCCTCTCGACAAACTACCGTTAGAGTAGTAACAAAACTTATGACTTGAAATTACCTCTGTTAGCAAATGAACAAAGTAAGACTGAGCAAATTTGTGTTCCTCCCCTGGGAATCATATTCTACCGCCGTTATAAGCAATTTCTGTTTTTCAAAAAAGTTTAAAGGAGTTGCGGTTGTTAACATTCCGTCTCTCATATCTGGAAGCACTGTAGGCTGATTTCAGGATTCTTCTTAAAAACTTGCTTTATTGTCTTTTGGGCATCCTATTCGTTCATGTGGTCATTTTAACCGTGCGAACATACGTCCCCTTGCACTATTGGTCTTTGACGATCAGGTAGCCCTCAATATTCGTCCCGACGCCTCTCTTGACTGCAGTTTAATTAAAAAATTTAGAGATGTTAAACATAGAACTCCACTGTTTGGCCCAGAGCAGTCGGTGTTATTGGGTCTCTCGAAAGTTGTCCCCACTTCCAGGCATCCATTGCTGGCCACGCCCGAGAGAAGTACTATGGTTGGTTATACCTCCTTAAAAAACTTGCGTGGTTCGGAATTCTAAAACGAATATTATCTGCTTTTTAAATAAACACCTTAACGTTGCGTAGTGTTCTGACTACCTTACAGTGTTTTGAAATGAGATTTTTTGACATTTGCTGTCCTTTTGAAAGCGCTGCGGTTAGACCTAATTTAACTTCTTCCCACACCACAAATAATTAAGGCGTCGAAAGGGACTCCTGTACAAACTAAGTCAACTTGACAGTCTAAAGGATTTTGACGTCCTAATGTATCGGCCAATTTCCAAACTGAACGATTGGTCTGTTAATCACTGCTTTTCTCTTCTTCAACCTCCTCTTTTCCTCCTTTCTCTGCTAACAAGTGGAGGAACTGAAAGTGTCTCACTGACCATCGAGCATACTGGTAAATTTTGAGGGCGATTAAGGTTCATTAAGCGACAATTCAATCTTTACTCCCAATTACTCCAGTCGTCACTCTAACGACATTCTGCTTCCTCCGTGTGACATGTGTCCTGTACATGCGATAACGGTGGGGCAGTATTTTCATAACACCCTGTAGCAAGCAATCAGACAAGACACCTTACCAAATAAGAAGGCCTCTTAACGAGAAGGGTTCATTTTAAGACGGAAAGTAGGGAGGTAGCGATACAACTAGGTTCTCATGTGGAGAAAATAACGGACGAAAAGGCTATTTGGAAAAGCCAACCGCGCATGTTTCGGGGAATAACCAGCAGCGCCCGTTGTCTAATCGGGCACCGTCTTCAGTAGCCTCGCACGGGATTGGTTTCTCCGTTTCTATAACAAGTTTATATCAGATCGAATTAAATAATTAGGATAAGAGAATATGTTATTATGCATTTCCATCACAGCCAATGGAATAGCAGCTGTAGGCCGGATTGTGTCTCGCCATCTTTCCATAAGTCCTGATTTTTTCAGATAAGCCTTGTTTTAAGCCTTGTTATCAACATTTTCTTCATGGAGTCAAAGGTGCCTGTCGCTTGGCGCCCAAAAATAATCACTCCTATATGTAAGAAATTTACTAATTCTGATCCTGAATCCTTCTGCCCGGTTGCAGTTTCACCGCATTAACGCTGTTTACTGAAATTGTTGCCTTGGATGCCATTGCCCCATTCTCCCTTAATTTCTCCGACTCTTTCAAACTTTTGTATAAAGCCAGGCTGAATACCATGTGTGTTATTATCCTTGTAGTTTACACTGCTTTAAGTGGGCAGGAAAAGTGTTGCCATGCGTACGCATGCGCACTTCCCGACTTCCCCTCTGCTATCAGCACAATCCAGCCGCATCTGCACCTTTATCAAAACACCTGCGTGTGGCTCCCCTGGCCGGAATTTTTCTTGTTTTAGAGAGTATTTTGTCTTCCGCAATCATTCTGTTAAGCGGAAATCGGCTGCTTTTCCTAATGTCTGCGAGGTTCTTCAAGGTCTTATCTTATCACCTCACATCCTCCCACTTCAGCCTGATTACCGGAGACCTCCCAATGACCGTCTATATGAAAAGTATGTTAATGATATTGTTGTCGGCAACCCTATTAAATATCAGGCTCAACTTCAGTTCTAAGGGATGGTTCGGTCGTTTGAATATGTACGTCTTCTTAATGACCAGAAATCCGTCCAACCTGATTTTTGACTGCACCGGTGCATGCAAGGTCTATACTCTGCAAAAAATGACTACTTAAGTAGCATGCAATTTTCTCATTGATTTTCGATGCCTTTGGAAATTCAATTATATTTCGGGGAAAACAGGCATGAAAATATTCATTCGTTTACTTATTCGGTAGAACATTACGTCTTCTTCCAATTTCATACTGAAAAGAAGAGTATAATTCGGTTTTAAAGAAGTTTATAATTGTGAGATTTTGTAATACCGTTAAAAGACCATTCATGATACGTCATGCATCTACATTTATGAATGTGGCTTGTAAAGTTAACAATATTGCTCAAATCCACTGCTTACTTTTATGAACCTCATATGGTATCCTCTGAACACCGTGGAGATATGCATGGTTTTCCGTACACGGAAACTGTGCAGCTTGTAGTTTTTAAACCCTGAATGCAACTGTAACGGCAGGTCGGGTTCAAAATTATTCGGGAATTAGAAACTTTCTTAAAACCGAATTATACTCTTCTTTTGAGTATGAAATTGGAAGAAGACGTGATTGTCTACGGAATAAGTAAAAGAATAAATATTTTTATGCATGTTTTCGACGAAATATAATGGAAATTTCAAGGGCATCGAAAATAAATGAGAAAATTGCATACTACTGAAGTAGTCATTTTTTGCAGAGTATAGATTTTGCATGCAGCCGAAGATAAGTTCTTTCGAAAGCCGACACCCTGAGGTAACTGGATCATTATAGATTTATGCTGCATCATGATTCGTTTTACAACACTACTTAATTCATCTTTTTGAAACGAGAACGCATTTCGAAATTGTGGTTGACATTTCATGAGTTAGCACATCTACTGTAAAATCGTACGTATTAGATACAGTGTTTAATTACTTTCGTTGCACCTGCATTACGTATGCCTTACGAAAGTTTTTTTTATTCAGGAACTACCAATGGCCAGTGGAAGTGACTTCTCATTCTGGATACGAAGGTCGCAGAAACCCCCCTGATCCAAGACGGACTTTGTACATTTACATTTTTTTACTTACGTATTCAATAAATCGTCCTTCCACAATACCGCCTTCCGACTTTACCATCTTCGGGACGTGGGGGTTCGCTGTGACTCGTTTCGGGGTTTTACGTTAGGCGACCGTTCGTCATGGTTGGCGTTTACGGCCAAAAAATCGAGGCCGCGATGAATGGAAAAAACGAAAAAAAGCCCGCGCGCAAAATTTTTTCCAAGGTGCGGCCAATGCGTTGATGGCCAGCGCACAGCCACACCATTTGGCCACACCTGGCCGCAGCATAGCCGCACTTGGCCACACCATATTTGCCTCGGCCAAGTGCGGCCAAGTGCGGCTGGTGCTGGCAGGGCCCCTCTCCCATTTCTATATCGGTTGGCACTTTTCTAGATGAATTATTATGTTTCTGGTGCCCAGACTTTATTCGGTTCTCAAATCTCCCATTCCTTCTTTATAATAAAATTCTTTGCATAAAAATTCGTAAAATTATTTATTGCATTCCCGTACCCATCACACACCTCAACCACAAATCTGGAGATTTATAGATGCTTACATTCTCCCTCTAATTCTCTATTGATCTCCGGTTATTTTCCCTGCCATGTTTTGAAAGATGCTATCATTTTAAAACGCGTTGTCTGAAAACTTTCTTCCTCTGCCAGTTTTTTCCATGTCTTTTAGCTAATATATTATTCGCGGGGACAGTGATAATGATGATCGTCTTGGTGGTAGTGATAATGTTGACGTTGATGATGACGACGACGGCGACAATGATGATGATGAATGCATTAGAGGACGGCGCTATTCAGCACACCAAGTTGTTTTCAGATATGTTATGCCATACTCGTATGTAACGAAGTTTTTGCTATCACCATGCAAAGAAGTAG